TCGTGACTGCATGTGGCCTTTCTTGAGGAGAGGCTCTTTTCTTGCAACCGTCCCATACAAGCCACATTTGTGGAGAATTTGTGATATTGTTGTCACATGCACACAATGACCACTCTTTGTCATAAATTCCTGCAGCTGCTTCAGAGTTGCTGTAGGCCTCTTGGTCGCCTCTCTGATCAGTTTCCTCCTGCTCTTTCATCCAGTTTGGAGTGACATCCTGATCCAGGGAGGGTCTGTGTTGTACCAAATACCTTCCACTTCTAAATATTAGACTTCACTGTGCTTCTAGGCATTGATAAAATTATTATTTTTTGTATTCATCTCCTGCCTGTCCACAACTTTATCCCGGAGATCTTGTGACATCTGTCTTGCCACCCATAGTTGATTGTTTGCTTCAGTTGCACTACTAAGGACTGAAATGCTCCAGGAAAGCTCTTTTCATGCTGAGCTAATCAAAATGAGCACAGCTGATCACAGTTGAAAGTCAAATGGTTTTGTGAGCCATTGAGAAGGTGATTAGCTACACCTGGCTGAGTTTACAAGTCATTTATAGGAGGGGGAGATCCTTTTTCCAACTCAGTGATTCTGTTTTTTCTTTTTCTTTTTTTTTTTTTTCTTACAGGTTGGTGTTTTATCATTCACTTGGATGTTATAATTAGCACTAAGTAAATACAGCTGGATAAAACAAAAACTGTGTCCATCTTCATTTCAGGCTGCAAAGCAACAAAATGTGATTATTTTAAAGCGGGGTTATTCTTTTCTATACCCACTGTATGTGTATGTTTATCGTCTGTGGAAGGCGTCGGACATTAAAATGTTCAACCAATCAGATTATTTGGTCTGAACATTAGGATAGGCTGTCCTACCTGCCTGTCAACGTATGTATTTGCATTCCTCTGTGCACCCTGTTCGCGCAGACATGATACATCATCATCGCGTTCTATTACGCTATTGCAGATCGAGAGAGAATGGAAGGTGTTATTATTTTAATATGATGGGCTTTGTATTATGTTTTCTTACCGGTAAATGAGACATGAGGTAATCTGACAGTGTTGCACTCAGACCAAAGTCCTCCACCAAAGTCATCTCTCATTGTGTCGATGATTAGCCTCTTGTCTGTCTGTTCACATTCATGTGTTTTGGAGGAGGCGTGGCTTTGCAGAGTGATTATGCAGGGAAGGGGGGATCTTGCTTTCAAATCTGGCTTGCTATTGCTAGCCTTTCTGAAATTGCCTACCCTACCTTTAAATGTGACTCATATAACAAATACTTACATGCATGCACAGTTTTAAGGCAGTTTTAATCGCCTCTTTGATAAATTCATAGCTATGACATGGCTAACTTATGACATAACTACGACATTGCATGTTCGCAGTTTCTTATTCAGCGTGTGCCGCTGCATTTGTGCGTACAATTGAAGAGCATGTGCTACAAGCACAGTATAATGGCTGACAGGGCAGGAAAATTTGTTTTTACTGACATATGGCCTGACGACATCTCATCTGACCGCAGTTCACTGTTGCTCTTCTGAAGCTCCCTCCTCACCTGTAGTTTTTCCGTGCTTGTTTGACTAGTGCCTGACACTGAGGTGAAGTTGGAGTGCCTGTCTGAAAAGTCTCAAAAAGTTTGATGTGGTCTTAAAGACGTTCTGCATCTAAATAAACACAATTCTTGTCAAGAAAAAAAAAGAGACAAGCAACAGTTGTGAGTGGGGTGGCCAACCCTAGCTCTGCCTCTACATTAAATATTTTTAATGCGTTAAACTGAAAAAAATTAACCACATGTGTTAACACGTTAATTTTGACAGCACTGATGTATTGTCACGATCTCCAGCTGGAGTGCCTATGAACTCCACCAGAGGGCACTCCACCTCTGACTCTTGCCACTCTATCCCAGACTACATTTACCATAATCCTTTGCCGGACTCATCATCTCTGATTGCATTCACCTGTGTCTTGTTTCCTCATCAGTCTCACCCTATTTAAAGCCTGGTTCGACACACACTCATGGCTCAGTTTTGTTTAGCCTTTGTTTAGTCCTAGTTCCTGTGTTTTCTGTGTTCCTTGTTTTCTTGCTTTTCCTTGTTTTTTGATCCTGGATTATTATCTCGTTTCTGATTGTTTGCTGCCTGCCCTGACCATTGCTTGTTTCTTGGATTACTCTTTTGTCTGCCGTGGATTACACCTGTTTGCTGCTGTTTGACCCTGCCTGTTTTGACCACTCTTGTAATAAAGCCTGCATTTGGATCCTCAGCTGCGTTGTCACGCTCCCCACGTTACAGGTATATCAAAAAGCTATTGATAACTTCTTGCCACGATGATCTGAGCTAATTTTGGTGAAAATTGGACAAAGTGTCTAGGTTGAGTTTGAAAGGTGTTTTTTTTTTGTTTTTTTTCAGAAAATTAAAAATCTTGACCCAAAGAAATGTACACCTACAGCATTTTTTGGTATGCATTTGAATTGGCATGAGCCAATGAATCAGAAAAG